TGTTCTCCACGAGAGATCCGGATTATAAACGCATTCATGTCATTCAACTATTATGTGGAGTGTTCATGGCACATCTGGATATCACCTAATGGATGAACTTTTAACTCTATCAAACAAAATTTCATTCTGGTAAGACCCTGTCGCTCACCCAAATTTTACCGGTCACTTAAAAGATAATGCATACCCACCTATCATATACATTCAAACACTTCGTTGTAATATAATTGAATTCATGTAATTTTAACGATTGTCCCGTTCATTGGTCATCTCTAATACGAACGATGAACATATTGATATGAGGATTTTCACCAAAAATTAACTATTATTAATTACCAGCAGCCAAAACTTACCGGGCCTTCAAAACAAACCAAAAAAAAAAAAAAAAAAATTCCAGCAGCCTCCCGTTAGAAACTATAGCCCCTGTCCCCTGTTTTCCATTCAAGAATTTTCTCGTCATCAGCAAGTTTTTTCTTATCCTTTTTGTCTCTCTTTTGCGTTTCAATATTCCCTATCAAATGATTTCTACTTTGACTGTGTTGTACCAATTTCTGTTCCAAAATCACAAGCCAGATAGCTAGCCTGAAGCCTCCACCGCATTTCGTCACTGTCCATCTGCTTATCAGCCTGCAATGGTGGTGGCTGCTACTACAGAAAAGATGAATGAACCATGCTAGTCATTTGACCATTCTTTCCATGTGTATGTTATATAAGCATTTGAAATCAAGCATTTACCAAAACCATTTCACCCGTCAGAATCCGCCACGATTTCACGCACATGCATGCACACAATTAAACCTATGAAATTTCACCACTAAGACTTTTTTCTTTTGTTTTGCTTGGGTGTGATTCGTGAATGTGATATATAGAGAGAATGTTGACTGTGTTTAAGCGGATTGGTTTGGTTCTTGACCGACTCGATTGATTTCAAGCCTCGACTTTTAATTTTTTTCTCCTTCCATTTTAATTGCAAGAAGATTAGTTTGTTGTTAACAAAATGTCTGGGGGGATAATTGTCAGCAGTAATTTGTGTGCATACTCGCCAATGTAATGTGTATCATGATTCATTTCAGACTTTTAAATTCTGTCAACTTGATCCAATGCACTTTACTTAGTTAGCAATCCTTTTTTTCTCCCTTACCACGTTGATAAATCGCAACCACTACGCAGTATATAAATTCTCAATCCACACCACAATGATATTGGTCATTTAGTTACCATGTTGTTAGTTACCTCCGTTGTAGCTAGACGTACGACTTGTGCATAAAAAAAATTCTGTAACCATACATGTTAGAATTCCGAACAATTTTCTTTACCATCGTGGTAACATATTTTCAGGAGGCCGACTCAAACTCTTTTTCTTTCGCTTTTAGGCATATGAAAATTAGATACTACTACTGATCAGAAAATCAAAGGTATGAAGAAAATTATAGTTCAATGTTTTCTCTGTGGAAAAATTGGAGACAGGTAACTGAAAATGAAAGCAAAATTAATTGTGGGTTGGTGAGAATAATCTTGACGTTGATGTGCTCTATTTTGGATCCTTTTGGTCTGTGGACCGGTTGGACCAGGTTTGAATATTGATTTCAATTCAACACAACTTGGGGCTTTCTTTACTCATCCATCCATCCACACAAAATAAAATAAAGGAGACAAAAGGGTTTGGTCAATGGATCCTTCCAGCTTCCCCAGAAAAGCGTTCATAGTTAAACCTCGGCAGTCAATTTGGGCGCCTTAAATTATAAGTGAATTTGCTAATTAATCATCTTTAAATTAATTGAAAGGAGATTAAAAAAAGTTGATCTGATAGCTCTCGAAGTAGAACGAAACTCTTGTCTTTTTACTCATCCGAAGGTTCTTTCCAAGAAGGGACATAATCAATAGCCACATTTTCTTGGTAATTCGTTTATGATATAGATTAAATGTGTATCTTAATGTTTTGGTAAAAAATTAATTTGTGTATGTATTATTTCGCACAAATTCTTTTATACTAAGTTCATGAAAGAGGGAGAGAAAATTGGAGAGGGAAGGAAAATATGAAAGAAGTGAAAATTTGAGGGGAATGAAATAACGAGAGGAAAGTGGTGTTCAATTTTGAAGGAAAAAAAAAGAATGAAAAAAGTTCATTTAAATTTGTGAACAAGGAAAAAGTTCTGAATCCCTCCATTTCCCCCTAGTTTTCTCCCACCCTCTATTTTTTCTTCTTCGTGAACAAAGGATTGTGAAACAAACTACACTTGTACATACAACGTTGTTGTACAAATTCAACTTGTTTTTAGAATCACCGGTGATTATGAGCATTGTAAAATTCTTTTATAATCAAATGTATAATGATAGAGGAATGTTACAATACTTTAAAGAATAAGTGATTTAGTTTTTCTTTTTTGTCTTTATGGTACAACTGAACTTATGTACCTTGAATGTTATAGTACAAATTTAGTTTGTACTTATACATTTATGTACAAATTCATTTATGGTACAACATTAATACGACCCTGGGGGGTGTATTTTTATCAAAGTCACGCAGCAAACAATCAATCCGAAGATTGATAGAACTCGAATCAAGAACAACGCGTTCTTAATACGAAAATTGGATAAAACAGAACCAACGGACAATTCCACACCTGGGGAAAGCTCGTATGGTATAAAAGGGTAGTTGCTCGACCACGTTTGAAGGGACTATTCAATCGATACAAAGCTCAGCAAGTTTGGAATCCACCAAACCCAAAACAAGTTCGCAAACTTGCAAAACCAAACAGTTTCTTTTCTATTCAATCAACTCTAACTATTACAACGAAAACTAGAGGGCTTTTATAGCCAAAGAAAACCTAATACAATTCTAAACTAACAAGGAAACAATTAAGGTAATAATCTACTCTAAAAAGGACTCAAAATTCGGGTTTAAACTTCCTTTCTTGAAGCACAAGTAAGCTGCCAGCAAACAGTCCAAAAGCAGATTTCGTACTAACTTCGTGCCTTTCGTTCGAGGCCTTCCAGAACTCCAATCCTTCATCCAATTCCTTCCCTTTGTACATAAACATACCTAGTTTCATGTTGTGGAAGCCTTTGGACTTGAATCATACCCATACTCCTCGAAGTAAGCCTACTTTGGAGCTTATTATCATGTTGTGGAAGCCTTTGTCCATTTTCTGGCAGTTTTCCCGTTTTGAGGTAGGAACTTTGAGGCCTTGGAAAACAACCTTAATGACTTCTTATTGAGCAACCAAGCATACCAATGTGTAGATAATCATTCCATGTTCAACACAAGCCATTAAACTTGAATTTCCATTGAGCCAATTAAGAGAAACGTGCCTCCAAAGTCGGCTACTTGAACACGGAAAATGACTTGGACAATTTTCAGCTTCTTCTTTGCAATTCGACTTGGCCTCTTTATTGATTAATCCTGGATGAAATTTGATCGATTCCAGGATCGTATCAAACATACTCGATGTTAAAGCTAGAGTTTATAATAGAAGTAGATAGTAGGATCTACCACCATGAGTTGGATGCTCGATGTAAAAACCGAACTAACTGCACCACATTTGACATAATTGGCACTTAAAACCCGAATTCAACACGCCTAATCACCGAAGCCGACTAACTAGGGGTGGGCATCCGGTTCGGTAAACCCGAACCGAACCGAACCAAAACCGAAGTCAACCGAACCGAAACCGAAGTATTCTTATTCGGTTCGGAAATCGGAAGCCAAAACTCAAGAGTTCGGAAACCAGGATCTTCTCAACCGAAACCGATTTCCGATTTCCGAACCGACCAACCGAACAAACACTCACAGTGTACAACTCCAAGCTCTGAGCCCACACAAATCCAAGCCCACACAACCCCAAGCCCGCTACATCTACTATTCCATTTCTCTAAGGAAACCCTAGCCCACCCAAACCTCATTCCCACAACAATCACCAGCAGAAAGAGAAGGCTAGGCGGCGGTCCCTCGGCGACAAAAGAGGAGAACGGCAGCGGAGTTCAAGTCCCCGTCGGCGATTGCAAACGAAGGGAGGAGAAGGCTTGGCGGCCAAGATCTGCTCGCGGCCGACGAAGTTCGAGCCCGCAAACCAAGATCTGCTCGACGGTCGACGCCATCACTTCCCTTCAAGCCTTCAACCAAATACAAAAAAGAAGAGCGAAATCGATGAGAAACGGAGATACGAAGGAGAAAAACAAACAAAAAATTCCATGCATGCTTGGATATTAGCCTTACTAACCTCTTAACCTTCGTCGCCGGATTCGTCACAATCATCGATGTCAATCGACGCCGCCGCCGCTGGATTGTGCTCTCCGTCACTCGCCATCACCGCCTGGCCCTGGGTCTTTCTCTTCCTCAATCGCCCTCGCCGCCTACCCTTGGGTTCTCTTCGTCAATCGCCGAGATGGGGAGGAAAACTTGCGGCTGCGTTCTGCTCTATGAGGAGAGAGAGAGAGAGGGAGAGAGAGAGAGAGAGAAAGAAAGAAAGAATTTGTTCTCCGCAGCCGCATATGGTAAATGGGGAGATAGGGTTAGTGGGGAGAGTATTAATTCTGGAACTTTCGGTTTTTGTATTAAAACCGAACCGAACCGAGATATATTTCGGTTCGGATGAACCGAACCGAAATATATTTCGGTTCGAACTCGGTTTGACCCATGGCATACTTCGGGGATTCGGTAAGCATCTGTTCGGTTCGGTTTAAACCGAACCGACCGAATGCCCACCCCTACGACTAACTTATCATTATCATATCAAGACCAACATCAATAATTTCAAATGAATTAGAAACTACGATAAAACATAATTTTATGCATAAAGCAAACAGTTTCAGTCTACTTCAACATAAACTTGCTCAAAACTGAGATGTGTAGATGAACTCGACGTACACAATCAATCGTGTCGTAAAAGCTTACACTAGTGTGAATAAAACTCTCCTATCTAAAACAAGAAAGTACTATTTATATGCTGAATTAGTAAGTTTAATTGTGAATTATTATACAAATAAATCTATAGAACTTTCAAACCCAAAAATTTGGTTCACTTGGTAGCCTACAAACTTCTTCTTGGTTTCTCGTCTCCCCATCAATCAAGCTTTCTGCAAAAGGGTTAATGGGTGGTTGGACAAGTGTCATTGCGCCAGGTCAGCAACCACCCTTCTTACTGCTTCCTGAAAGGCGGCTTCGTCCCATTCTTCATCTCCCTACCAAAAACCACACAACCAAAGAAGGAAGGCGCCAAGAAATTAAAATTACACCCAACATCAATTAACCACAGAAAATCGTAATATCAATGAGAAAATTTTATTTACAAGTTCTCCATTCTTGTTATTGGATTTGGACCAACTCGTTATTTATCATCCAGAGTTTCCGACAATTGAGATTACATCCAAGTTAATAAAGTTCTTATAATTTTAATTCAAAACAAAAATATGGATCGGGTGGGTGGGATTTCTTACTTGGCGACGAGGAGAAAAGAAATGTATGTGGTCAACTGAGTGTGATGGTCATATTTAATTTATAACATGTGGTGGTCCATTAGATTTTTCTTGATAACTACTATTAATTCCTCGTATAATGATTATATAAAAAAATTCCTCATATAATGCGGGGGGGGGGGGGGGGGGGGGGGGGGAAAAGAAGTCGGAAGACATTGGCTCCCCGACCAAACCAAACCCACCAGCTTAATTTCATCAACGACTAAAGTATTTAATTTATAATATATGTAAATGATATTTACCAAAATAAAAAAGCACAAAGAAGCTAGGGAAAACCCTAGACTCAAAGATATATGAGAATATTAATTAAAATTATTAATTACCTCAATCTGCAACCGGAAAACAGCTCGGCTGAAACGTGGCGCCTGGTCTGCGGTCGCTTCCAAGGCCACCAAGTCAACGTTGCTGACTTGTCGGAGAAACTCCAGCACCCGAATCACCATGTCCGAAACCAGAGAGTCTCCCAGAAGAGTGACTTGCAGCTCCACGGTGCGGTGCTGCTCCGACGTCGTTTGGTCAACCGTTCTCAACCGCACGTCCACCCTTTGGCCGCTCGCAACGGTACTTTCCGCCGCTTCTCGCTCGGCTGCTTTGCTGGAACCAAGGAGTAGCAGTTTGGATTCGAGCTGGCGGTTTTTTTCTGCCAGCTCGGCTACTTGAGCTATCAAGGAGCTCATGTACTCCTTCGTCCGGCTCAGCACCGACGCCTTGTCTTTCTGCATCCACAGGCGATTGAATTCAGTTAATGCATTAATTGAACTCAGTGCTATACTACTATGCATGTTGCGTTGGAGTTGTAGTTTTAAAACAACATTAAACAACAATATTAATAATTATGATTATAGTATTACAACTCATGATTAATATGCATGGTGCTATATATGAAAATGACAAAACAATCTATATTCAATATGAATGGCAATGTGTGAAGCAAAGGCAAGGATAGATAAAGTAAACTTTTTTTTTTGAAAAAGAGTGCACAAATTACATAACGGATTACTAGGTCTGTCAAAAATTAGTAGGTCTCAATAATTGGAGTTACTGACATGGTATCAGAGCCTTTTGTAACGATCTCATTCGTTAAGGACACGAAATTTTCCTGGACGCGTGGAAACTTTAAACACATACGAGCGGCAAACCTGACGTGTGTTAGTATGTGAAAAATATTCATTGTCGAAACAACAAAACATCTCTCGAGTCGTAAAAAAAAAAAAAACTCTGATACCATATCATAAACCAATTGGTTCCAGTAACTTGAGTTATTAGGATGACAGGTTGTTCTTGAAAATTAGACACATAAGATTTGCAGTTTGGTTTTTGTAGAGTTCAATTAATTAGTAAATTAAGTTAGAAAAAGCAGGAGCATCGATCGATCAGAGTAGGCATTTGTTCGCAAGCAGTCCGATCCATTAGCTAGCTATAGGTTAATTAGTAGAGGTAGGTAGGTTACCTTGGCATCGGGAGGGAGGAGGGAGCGGAGGGAGTGGAAGCTGTCGTTGATCTTCTCCCGGCGGCGGCGCTCCGATATCATATGGTGGAGCTGCGTGCTGGTGGGACGGCTGCAGGCCAGCTGATGACTCCTGTCCCTCGCCGTGAAGCTCCTCCTGTAGTACGTAATCGCCCTCTTGAACATGCTTTGCCCCGCCACTCTCACTCCTCTAGTAGGAGGAGGAGCAGGAGTTGCAGCAGCAGCGAACTTCTTGAAAGCAGTAGTAGTAGTAGTCCGACGTGGCATCCGGCCCTGATGATTAGATGGAGCAGCAGCAGCAGTAGCGGAGGGAGGAGCAGAGGTGAAGACGGCCAGCAAGGCTCTGGTCATGGCGACGTCCTCCATACTCGCCATTTGAGTACTCGGAAACAGCCCCACGTACGGCTGCTGCTGCTGACGTGGCGGTGGAGGAGGGTGGAAGGCGGGGGTAGAGGCGGCAGCGGTGGTATTGGCGGTGAGGTTGAGGAGGAAAGACGAGTACTCAGGGCTGTTCTGATCAAGTGAGAGCACTGATGATCTGACGGAGGAGGTGGACGAGGAGGACGGCAGCCCCGCATTATTATTCGCTGTCGTCGTCGTCGTTAGAAGCCTGGAGAAGTCGTCGGGGAAAAGCTTCATCATCTCCCCCTCGATGCTCATCTGAGGGTTAGATATATACGTAGACACAAATGTTAATTAAGTTGAACAAAATCGGCGGCTTGTATCGTAACAAATACGTCATTGATGATATTATTCTAGTTATATATAGTAGTAGTAGTGCTTACTTGTTGTTGACCCGTCGGATTAGACCAGCCGAGCTCGATCTCGCCACTTCTGCAACCCATAAACACTGCTGTCTGTTTTTGCGCCGTTAATCAATTAATTATTAGATTCGTAGCTAAGCTATTTATGATAAAAATTTAAAAAAAAAAAGAAGGGATCACGTAGCTAGGCTAGGCTAGAGATAGTGGATGAGGAACGGAACAAACCTTGATCTCGGCTTCCTGCATATATATATAATACAAAGTTCCAAAAGAAGCAGAATGTGTTGTCAGATAAGACTGATTAATGATTAACTGCTAATTAATGGAGAGTGATCATTCTGGTCACGGCTTTAAATAATTACCTGGTAGAAGAGGCGTTGTGAAAGATTGGACGCCATTCGCAGCAGCTCCGGTAATTCGTTCAGCTCTACGTACGGGTGGTTGATCAAGAAGGCGTGCCCCGGAACTCGACTGCGCCATCATCAAATTACTTAATCATCATCATCATCATCATCATACATACAATTAATTAGTGAATTATATATATATCTGAGTGTCATTAATTTATCGATCGATCTTACTCGTTGATGGGAGTGAATGTTGACCGTGTGTAGTCCTGGAAATGCCGGTTGGCTGCTGCTGAAGACGGAGGAGGCGATCGAGGAGAAGAAGAGGAAGAGGAGGAGGGTATTGGCTGCTGGTGGTGGTGGTCGTGGTGATCGTCGTCGTGGTGTTGGAGCGGCCGGTAGAAGCCTCCGGCGAAAACGAGCAGGCTGGATACAGAGTTATTATGAGGGTGGCGATGGGGGAGATGGGACCAAAGGCAAATGTAAGAGCTGCCCAGGTGCTGCATCAACGCTTGCAGATAGGCGGGCAGCTCCATTTCCGGCGCCATCCCAAATACGCTCTCCATATTTCCTTCCTGCTATGCGATCGGGATAGAGATCCAGTCCTTGCAGCGGCTATGCATCGACGACGGTGATCATCTGATCATCAGGTAGAAAAAGGTTTCGACCGGTTTGGTTAGTGGCCGGGTCGGTTGTTGAGGATTTGATTGGTCTGTGTGGAAATCGGCGGCGTTCGGTGGTTTAAGATTTTATTAGTACAGAGGAAAAAGAATAATAAGGAGAAAACGGTTTCAAGCCGGCGAGGGAGAAGACCAAGGAAGGAAGAAGGGAAGGGAGGAGAGGGGAAGGGAAGGGAAGGGAACGGAATGGAATGGAAGAAAATAAATAGTCCAGCGGCGGCCCACTTGTATGAAGAGGGGACTCCTCTGGTTTGGAATTTTCCAAACAATGAAGAAGGCAAGAAGCTAATAAGAAAAGTATTCACTTTGCATTAATTTATTATAATAATTATTATATATATAATAGCCGATATATAAATAATTATATGAAGTGGTATAGCGTATGGTACGATATTATACACCAATTTTTATATATACAGGATGAATCACAACTCCTAATTCGTTTAACTCAGATAATAAGATTCGTTTAATTTAAAAATATAATAATCGAGATTTCCGATGGATCGAAATATATTGAAATTCACCTTTTTACAGATGTGAATTCAAGACGTAGGCTAATGTTTGCCATAATTATACATAAGTCACATGTTATTCTGCTACTGGGTTGGGTTCCGCGGTGACAAAAATAACAAAGACAAGAGGGAAAGAAGGAGAAAGAGACCGATGGACCTTTGAAAATGTTGTCTCGTCGTCTCTAGGATAGATGACGTGTAGTGTGCAAAGGGTAGAAAATGGTGTGGAATAATGCAATATATATATAAAAAAAAAGTTCAAATTATATGATCACTCAAATTACATAAATCTTTTAATTTTGTCACTCGAATTACTTTTCTTTCTTATTGATCACTAACTTTACGAATTGTTTCACCGTTAGTCACCGGACGTCAGTCTCCATCAGACTCCGCGTCAACTCTGTCAGTTTTTTTATGACGTGGCAAACGGAACTGCTATCAGAGCTTTCTTATCCCCCTTCCACGCTCTCTCATTCATCTTCAACCCTTCCCTTCCTTATAGCAACCGCCGCTGAAGGCCAACACCTGAGAACCACCATCCAGCTCTGTCGACTGTCTCGCCATAAAACCACCACCATCGTCGTCTTCTCCTTCTCCCTCTCTTCCCGACGCCTCCCTCTCGATCCCTCCTAACACCTTCCTCCCCAGTTGAATAAGACAACTTCTCAAGCAAGAGATAGTCTTACCATCGAGATCGACAAAAACATTTGGACGAGCCATACGCAAAATCGAGGCCAAGGTCAAGGAGATAAGCAATTGCATAGTCAAAACTCAAAAGTAACCAATTCAAAGTCGGACATTCATGAAACGAAACCCTAATTAAAAGCCACAATTCAAACGCCCCCCCCCCACCAATTCCGAATTCCTATTTAAAGCCCTAACTTTTTAAAATATTCGCCCTAAATTAACCAAACAGACCATTCTACCCCAATTCCTAATTTTTCTATGCCAAGTAATCAGCTAATCGACCTAATCCCTAGTTTTACAATGGAACGCCCCAACCCCACCGGCAAAATCCATTCTTCGATCAAGGACGCAGAAGACAGATTAGAATCTCGCCCCGTCGCCATGCTTGCTCGGAAGGCCGATCGAGGATGCAGATCAGAATCCCGCCGCCATGCTTGCTCGGTGCGCCGACAGGGTTCAATCGTCTCTACTGATGGCGAGCGATGGTGAGTAGGAAGAAGGAACCACTCGGTCCGTCCCATCGCCGCCGCCACGCCTTCCATTGCGCCGATTGAGGACACAGAAGAGAGAAAAGAACCTCTCATCGTCTCTGCAACTTCGTGAACCGAAGAGAGAATTTCACCGGTGGAGATTGGGGCGAAGCAGAGCAAAATTAGGGATGGAATTAGTGCGATGGCAGTGTCGACGAGGCGGACCGAGCAACACTCCCAGACGCCGCGAGGAATCACTAGGTCGAGCGGCGCATCGGAAGGCAGTTGCGGCGGCGACGACGAAGACTCCTAGGGCGAACGGCGAGGACGGGAAGAATCCAGCGGGGCGAGATTCTTTTCTCGATCGGCCTTCCGAGCAGGGCAAAAATTTGTTAAGAGATTGTAAATATAACCTGTACAAAAACGTCAAATTGCAAAGTTAGGGCGATAAATTTTAAAAACTGAGGGCGTTAATTAGTACCTCTCAAGAATTTGCCAGACTTCAAATCGCGATGGAGGACCATATTCCGGTTGCAAGCGTCGAGGCCGGAGAGAATCTACATCATCCATGCTTGACCTCGCCGACGGATCCCTCCCTTCTTCTTCTCGTCCTGGATGACTGTTGCCTAATTGGTCCTGAGGAATTCGAGGACGACGATGTTAGGGAAGTTCCGGAGGACACAGATGGCCTCTATCTCGTGGAATGGTGACTGGTATTGTGGACATCTTTCAAAGCGACAAGGACGTCTTGTCGATCATTAGTGCAATCTCCACAATCATTGTCGCTCCGCTTCTTGTCAACCTTTCGCTTGGATCTCCAACACCAGCTCGAGTTAGGGATGTAATACATGTGAACAAAGATGAGTTGTGAACAAGAGGACGACCAACGTTAGGCTGATTAGTTAATTTTTCAAAATGACAAGCGTGCGCCTCCCTCTAAAATCATCATGAAATTGTGATGACCAACCTCTTAAACATAGAAAATAAGCAAATTGGAAGCTTCGTATTGATTTGTTTTAGTGTACCATGCTAACAAATTAGGTGTTAGCACTTAGCACGCTAACCCCAACCACTTATTCGATTTATTGACTCTGACACTAGCCCCAATAACTTCTTTCCATGGTATCAGAGCTTTTAAACGAGTAGTCTTATGTTCAATCCTCGCAACCTACAATATTAACAGTTGATTTAGCCAAAAGATATGACAGGCCAGTACAAACTTTAACCTCGTAACTTTCATTTGAAGCGTTGTTAAAAACATAATATAAAATTCACTCTTCAACATTTCTCTATCAACAACTCAAACTATTATTACAAACCAATTCTTTTTTGGTAAGTTATTACAAACCAATTCTTATCACATATATATGACTTTTTTCCATAGGTACACATAAATCAATCGCACAATCACATCGTGATGATGATTATCACTGTTATTATTACAATCAACTACTCATATGGAGTTATGTCATATTTAGATGATTAGATCATCCCGTGCGACATATAGCAACATATTTTCCTTATGCCAAAAGTAAAAAAGAAGACCAAGCTAGGTTAACAAAGTTGATACGTTCTTAGCATATGAACTCATGTAATTTAATCCTTGTCGAAGGTGCTAGTGAATCAATTTACACGTCGTACGTGATGAATCTAAAAATTAGTGATAATAACTTTCTAATCCCTTCATATGAAACTTCTGTTAAAAAAACCCAGTAGGGAAATTAGTAGAATGAACAGTTGAATGCAGGGAGAATTGTCATTGCAAGGATGAAAAGTAGTCGTGAGTGGGGTTAGGGTTGATCGACGAGATATGAGTTAATTAGGAGAATGGTAGGAGAGAAGTGAGAATATTATTGTTTGCAAGCTGGGGGTGGGAGGGTATGGAACAGTCTTGTTTGTTTTGGTTTAAAGGGTCATATTCTCATAATATGATTTTTCATTCATGAATTTCATAAATATAAAAAAAATAAAGTAAATTGATATTTGGATTTGATGAAACCGACCGAATACAATAATTATATGATTTTTTATTTTGATTTTTTATTATTATTATATTGCGTTTCTCATGACTTTGGCTGGTCCGTAACATTGTATACGAGAGATGACAATTGAATTCAGATTTATGGGTTTGTGTTTAGTTTTTTTTCTTCTTTCAAAACCCAACTCTGTTCGCGCCCAAAAATAATAAAACAACTTTGTTTTGTGTATAATCTTAACAATATAGATAATTTATGAATGGTAGTCTTTATACCAATGTAATCCAAATAATATGGATAACTTATATATGTTATTTTTTTTAATCTTAACTTATATATGTTATTAGTCTTTATGAAAATATATTTGTAATTTTTTATATAATATTACGGTGTGGGTATCCAGAGAAATAATGTGCGGTTGTTTTCTTACGCTCATAGGTACTCATGCATTTGTTGATATCTGTAGGGTTAGATTGAAATTTCTCTTCCGAAATCCATTCAATATTTGCCAATTTTTTTATTTTATAAATACACCTACTGAACTGGATTTGATTTTTTTTTTTTGGATAGAACTGGATTTGAATTTGAAGAGATCTTTAATATCCCGAACATTTTCCCGACGAAGATATTGTCCGCTTTGGGCCTCGACCCTCACGATTTTTGACTTGGGGTGCAATTCAAGGTGACTTCCCATAATGTCACTCATCCTTGTTATACTCCACACCGAGCACGTTTAACTTCGGAGTTCTCATAAGAACTCCTCCATTATACTAGAAAACGCGTCTTATCAGTTAAGGTCGGTTTATTACTTATGAACTGTGAATCCCTCACATAATTTGTCGATGTGTGATTCGCTTAAAGTGTTACAAGATCCCGACTCAATCCCACCCGTTGCCTTCCCTGCTGCACAAACCTAGATGGGAATCTGTGTAAATGAAAACTAAAAAAAAACAAAGCAAATAAATGGGAAGGGGGACTCGAAGAAAAGTAATGGTCAAAGTCCACTGGGGCCCCCTTTTTTCCTTCTTCTTCTTCCTTTCTCTGATCAGTGGCTTTGATTTGAAGATAGCCAATCAACAACCAAAACGGAGACCATCCCTTTCCTTTCCTCCATACAATTTTTTACAGCTAGCTTAGCTACCTTCCCTTGCCAACATACAAGCTAATAATGAACAAAAAGGTTTGACTCGGGTTGACAGTCAACTTTTACAATCATCCTCATATTTATCACTAGACTTATTATTTCATTTATTGTAAAAAAAAAAAAAATATAGATTAGAGAGAACTGAACTATGTAGAGTGGATGCACAAACTCGGAAACTAGCTAGTCTTGTGTTTGACTCTACGGGATGACATGTGTTCTTGTAGCTCTGAATTCTTCTGGGATTAAGGGAGTTCCCCCGAGAGCATTTGTTTGATCATGTTATGGCAATGGTATAGCACTATCTGGTGCGGGGATGAATGTCGTGTGCAGTGTGGTCAAAAGAGAAAGAGGATGTGCCGTGTGCGGAGAGTGGTGTGAACGTATATAGTACATGATGGTCAAAATGAAAGATACACGAGGTTGTTTGGATGAAAAATTCGAACAGATCAATTTTGATCCAATTGTCTCGTCTTGAGATAATTGTGCTAAATTGAACCCGTTTGGTAACATAAAATTTGGATGGATCAATTTGACAGGAGTAATTCCCCCCCCCCCCCACCCACCCAAAATATATATATGGCAAAGTGGATATTATCTCGTAAATCAATAGAACATGTTGACACTTTCTCAAATTATGTTTCATCAATTCTTAATCATCCGCGTCAATCGTGATTTTTCACATGTGATTGATTGAACATTCTCTAACTAAATAGCTAGCTAGGATAAATGAATTAATTAAGTTGATCAGTAAACCAAACCTATATACATAAAATGGAGTACTGACAGTGGCATAGACAGAAATTCTCTAAAGAGAGTCAATATTACCGAGGCGTCATTTGGATGAGGAAATGTAACGGATCAATTTGACTCAATTGTCTCGTTTGCCAACAGGAAATTTGGATGGATCAATCTGGTCTGGGGAATTTCAAATTGAGCCATTATGAGTCAATTCTAATTATCTAGGGTGGGACAGGTAATCTTTCCCTAAGCTCCTCCAAAAATTCACTAATTCACCTTGAGGACACAAACTCTGTGCCCCTGGGACTTGGGTTACCTTGACGCGGACGAGCACTCTGACTATCCGAAATAGCATGACACTCTGCAACCAGCAAGTGAAACTAAGAAAGCAAAATTGAGACGATTTATTGAGTAAATTAAAAAAACTACGAATTTCCTAGCGTGCCAAACGCACCAAAAATTTGCCACAACCCTCGTCAATTAACCCCGACTAAGTTCTTGCCACTCTACCAGCCTGCGCCACAAGATCCCCATATGGTCTATGGGAAATCTTTCCTTGAGCTTTGCCCCTTCCAGAGGCCAACCGCCACGCGACAGCGGAAAAAGAGATGCTCTAGAGATTAAAGAATCTACGTCAACACCTTTCCCACAATAATTTTGGTTCATCTAATTAAATCTTAGATGATTAGAGAATCTATAAATTATAATAAGCATTTACCTCTATTTACAGATGACCATTTTAAATTTCCATACTATCTACCCATTCGCATCATCACCCTTCTCGTCAATCATATTTTTTCTTCTCTCTTTTTCCCCCATTTTAGTTCATTATTTATCTTTCATAGATATATCTAACGCTCTAAACTGAAAGAGTATTTTAATTTTCCAGTAATCCAATTAGAATGTCGAGCACACTTTCTCTCTTCCTTTTCAATTCCCCTACTATTCTTAATTGATCCGTATATATTTAATTTCAACTTCAAATTTATATATTTGTATGCAAATATTATGCGATTTACATAATAAAATCCATTTAAATTTGGTATACGTTGAAAATAAAATTCAAAAACATGGTCACGATCATATGTTCACAACCACGTTCCTATTCGATAGTTACAAAAATGTATCAACGTCATTCAATTATATACCACCACACACAAAATTACTCATAACTACCGTAGCTCACGTGACACGTTTCTTATCTACTGAGTTAC